TAATGAAACGTTTCGTCTCTCCTCCAAGAGACTTCTTCAGTCTGAGAGTTTCAGGCAAAAAAAAAAGCTCTTGGAGAAGAGACAAAACGTTTCATTAGAGAAGAACCCGTCCAGAAGACCTATACAATTTTTTTTTCTTTTTGATTTTTTCCCTGGATTACTGAGATGCATCAAGATACGTTTATTTAAGTTAGTTTTTTAATTTAAGTTAGTTTTTTTAACAGTAGTTGTTCTTTAATGGAGTCTTAGCAAGAAAACTATGTAGGAAGTTTAAGATGAGGTACAGTAAATCTAAAAAATCTGAATGAAAATTTTTATTAAAAGTTTCTATAAAAGGTTTTGAGTCTTTATGAACTACAAATGCTACTTAAGTCAATAATTTAGTAATAGTAATAGTAAGTAATAGTAATTTTATGTCATGCACCACAGCAGGTGCCCAGTTCACATGGGCATACAAGACACATTAAACACATACATACAGGCAGATAGATAAACATTCTTGAAATAAAAAGTGTCCTCTTCCCGAGGTGCCAGGCCTTTAAAATAWACTTTATCTTCATCAATTAAATAAAAAAGTCTGGATAAACATCAAAAACTTTATCAAATAATCCATTTCTCAAAATCATATACAAAGGACAATAAAACAAAATGTGCATTTCATTCTCCATTTCACCCAAATCACAAAGAACATATACTGTACGATCTTTCTCTGGAACTGAATGAAATCGTCCAGTCTCCAAAGCCAAAGGCAGAGTGCCAGATCTATGTCCTTTATTTGAATATAGGTTTGTAATTTTGGTAGGAWATCAACTGCCCATTTACCTTCATAAACTTCAAAATAAAACTGTTTAATCTGTTCAATATTACATCTTAACTTATTTCTATAAATATACTGAAAATCTACCTCCCTCCTCAAATATTTTCTCCATTAGTCTGGCCCAAGTATACCTATTTGACAAATCCCAAAGAAAATGTTGTTTTGTTAATCTATAATCAGACATGTTGATAAACTTGGGAAACTGGAATTTGCCTCTTAGATGTTTACAAAGATTAGAAACCAGAGTCGTCTTATTTCAAAAACCTTTTTTTTTATTTCAAACTTTATTCATTTCTTTTAAAAAAAAACTGACATGACTCAGCAACTGTCAGTCCAACGCAGACTGCTGCTCATTAAATCCCTTTAAAATTTTCATCTTTACCTGCGAGCYTGTCCTCCTCCTCAGGAGCTTCATTTTCCTCCTTGCTCGTGTTCAGGGCAGACAGAGGGTCTCCTTCAACCCCCACGAGCAACTCCAGGGATGTGTTCTCCGCAGACCCTCGCTGACCGTTGAGCAGCCGGAGGCGCTTACGTTCGATCTCATGCTGACGAAACTTGTCAATGCAGTCATCAATCAGGGAGGCTGAAGCTTTCTTATGGCCAACCATCACCTGGATTGTTGTTTTAATCCCAAAACTTTTATTTTAAAACTGAATTTCATTAAAAATAACACTTCTCTCAAAACTGGACTCTTACCTTGCCACAGTATAGAACTTCAAATTTCTGTGAGTTGTAGAAGGCTTCATCAGTTTCCTGTTTGGGTTTGGTGTCTTCCTTTAGGGCCGATTTGGACACTTGTCGAATACTACTGATTACCTCTGGGACCTGTGAGTAAAGACAGTGGAAGCAAAGGGTATGATGACCACAGGGAGGTCTACAAAAAACAAAACAGGAAGTTCAAAGGAAAAGCTGGTTCAACGATAAAATATTGTAGTAGAAAAAATACACAGAAAAAATGAAAAAAACTTTCCTCCCATTTAAAATGAGTTCAAGCAATGGTTGAAAATAAAATAAGAAAAATAAAACACTAAAATGAAAGGCCTAGCATTCCTCAAATGCTCAGGTTCTACACTAAAATCAAAGATGCTGAGTCATTTTGCTCAAAGCTTTAAAAATAGCATCTCATGCAATCTCTGCAAAACTATACAGTGATCTCTTAATTTTTTCTAGAGCTATACGTATTAAAAAACTGCCTTTTTTCTGTATTTTAGCCGGCTACTTTTGCTGTGGCCCATTTGCAATGGGAAGTGAGAATTTCCCACTTACTAGTCATAAATTTAAACTGGAACACCCCCTCTGGTGGGAATTCCCTGTCAGAATGTGAGAGTTCAGAGTTCAAGATGGCAGCTACTCACCACAACTCAACAGTGAATAAAACACTTACTTTTACTTTTAATAGTATTTCTGTACTATTTATTTCACTTTTAATCGTTCATACACGTAGTACTTTTCATTGTTAATAAGAGGATGTGTTAAAATGCTGTTTTAATGCACAAAATACCAAGAGCTCAATTATTGTTTGTAAGCAGTGCTCAGCCATAACAATGAGATGAGACAAGTGATGTTTCATGAGGGCCATGATGAAAATAAGTTTGACACCCTTTGTTGTAAGTATTAACAAAAAACTGTATTTAGATGACAGTTCCTAGAAATTCATAAAGTGATTTTGAATAACATAACACAAAGTAACACCATGGTGTATGGCTGCACAATATATCAAACATTTATCATCATAAAAATAACAGCCTGTGCAATACGCATATTGCAAAAAACTGCAATAAATGCTTGGCTCAAATGTTTGCATTTATGCGTTTTGTCAATCCACACGGAAGCTTCTAGTATTTCACCAATCAAATGGAGCCATTCACGTATTCGGCCAATTGGATGCATCTCTTTATATCGTCATTGAATTAATAAGCACTCTTATTGAACATTGGAGGTTTACCCAATATCGTTCAGCCCTATCATGTTATACAATAAGTTTCCAACACTGTGGAGAAAAATAAGTCACCAACWCAGACTTAACATAACGGTATCAGAAGTAGGCAAGGAGCCTTGGCAAATGCCTTAAAGAACTGAAGACAAAACAAAGGGTTGGAAAACGAACAGAGATTTTTAAGGTGAGTCTTTCTGTTTTTGTAGGGCATTAAACATTTGCAGAAAGTTTTGTCTATCACACCGTTTAGTACACTACAGCCAGGCCAAAAAAAAAAAAAAAGAAAATGCAAATCTTTTTCAGGGAAATTCATGAGCAATACTTAGCAATGAAATGCCAAGTATAGTGCTTTTGTTCAGACATACTGGCGAACATCCATCAAGATCTCTCAGAAGCTACAGTAAAGCTTGCTTAAATATTGTGTTTAGACAACAATACGCTCCAAAGCAAAGAGTGACTCTGTCCACTGAACCCATTTATTATTTCGGATGAGGGCAGCATACAGACTCCTGAGCAAATTATATTTGTGGTGTAGACTGGGGAGAAGAGTTATGCAACTAAACACGTCAGAGGTGAGAGGAGAACAACTAAACAGGGGAAGGAAAACAGGAAGAGGACGGAACATCCATACAAAACACCAAGATATTCCTGACGATCCCAGCTTTACAGAGAAGTTAGAGACTTATAGGGTTAGGTCCAGTAGTTATTTTAGAGGGGCTTGCAGTCCCAGTGGTTGAGCTGTGTTTGGCTGCTAACAGAGGCTGTATTCAGAAGGGAAAAAAGAATTCAAACAGTGGGGGTGGAAGCAGCTCCTTGGTCATACATGCTCACTTGGAAATCTCCTCAGGAAAAAGCTCTGAGCAGTGTGTGTTGGGGGGGGGGGGGGTACTCCAACACATTCAAATCATTGTTAGAGAATACGTTTCAACTGACCTCGTTAATTTGACTTGTTATGAAAATGGGAGGAAAAAACAGTGATGTGCTGCCAAACTACACAGATAACATTAGAGCAAGGTGATCTGAAGGCCTTGCTGACTGAGAATCCCAGCTGCAGTCTGGTCAGCAACACAGAAAGGAAACTGTGAGTGTTCTTCTAACATTTTAAGTCACTCATTTATTATCCATGAGTATGARGAGACTGAAATACCATTTGGTTTGATTAATTATTTGTTGAGTCCAACTTACAGCCGGTAAAGGTGCTCACTTCTTAAAAAGAGACAGGCATATAAACAAAGTTGTTGGGAAATAGAAGACAGTTGACCGTTGTAGTGTTAAGATTTAAGATAACCGTTCAACTTTCACCTATCTCTGCTCAGATGTGTCAAACATCAGTAAAACTGGGTGTGAATGAGGCCCATCTACATAAATGCCAGCAGTCAAGCACGGCTTTGGAGCTCAGGGGAAAGTAAACACTGGGATTGTCCTCTTTAAGCTGGTAGCACTTCCCCCCTACATTAGACTATAAATCAGACACAATGGCCTACAGTGTCAGCAGTTAGGGAAACTACAACTTTTAGCACCTGCCTCCAAAAAGCATAAGRACTTTTTTGTCTTAAATTTTGATAATACAAGCTGAATCACTCCTGACTTCTACTCTTAAAGCTAGCCAATTGTGTGAAGATTTGTTCTTAAAATGTAACCATTAGCTTGTTTAGCAAACCACTGATCACATCTTAATAAYGTTTTCCAGAAGTAATGTAATACAACAATGCTGGCTTTAAAGCATCTTATTTAATACCAACTATTCAACAAAACTCCAGGGACCACAGTTACCTAAAGCCAACAGTTCAGGGGCAGGACAAGTATTACTAGCTTTCACCTTTTAAATTTGTTTGTTTTGTTGCACTGAATCATAAATTTAAAGTTTACAATTGATATAGAAACTACTTTCTTATTAAATTAAGCATACTTAAATAAATAAATTTATTTATTTATAATTAATTAATTGGCAGGGCCCTTTTGGCAGGCTGGATGGAAGTTACCCACAGACTGCCTTTGGCCCAAGCTTTGAGTTTGACTTGTGTGTTAGAGGTTTGATCATGTGCTGTGCATGATTACATTTCACACAAGCTCTAATTGTTGGAKAGATGGCCTCACATTTTACTCTAGAATACTTACGCATGTGAAATTTTTTTTAGAGAAGACTCAGTAACTGCAAAGTGCTCAGATTCTGCGGCTCCTAATACAGTCCGAATTATTAATCGCAGAAACGTCTGAAATGTAGCACTTGGGCGTTTTTTTAATTACTCTGAGCWTTTAACAATCTGACACTGGGGTGAACTTCTTCACTTCACTCTTGGAATGGTTGACAATGGTCCAAAATGTTTTTTTCTTTTGGGAATAATCTTTCTTCCTGCAGAATGATGAACTCCATATTGTTTGGAAATGGCCTTGTAACCCTGCCCAGATTACAGTAATTGCTTTGTCTGATATTGTTAGAAATGTCTTCTCTTATTGGCACRGTGTTGCTACACACCGGAAAGCAGKGGTGCTTACACTCGTTGATGATCAACTTTTAAATGTCCTCATAATTCTAACAAAAGCAGTAAGAACACAGAGTTTTTCCACAGTGCTTTTGCATTTTGCTCACATTTTTWAAAAATAAATGCATTATGTGCTGTTCATCTGAGATGAACACTTATCTAATTTTAAAAACGGTGTTTTCCATTCCCTCATATATAAAACCTTAGAACCGTACTTACTTTCTTAGAATGACTGCCTGTTGAAGGTCAAGCTTCAGCTCAGAGAACAAACTGTGATGCRGTTTTCAGCAAAGTTCAACACAAATCCAAAGAAACCTTGTGTCGCCTCATGAAACTGCAGGCTAAATATAACAAGATGTGTTATTCAACCTGAGAAGCAATGCAACTTTTTTATTTTGCAAAATTTTTACTAAATCACCTGTAAAAGCAAGATAAACACCAAAATGTCAATCCAGTTGACATTATAAAGAATGCAACCTACTTTCTACACTTGCATGTAACATTCACAATAAATACACAACAATCATAATCACTAAGTAACAACTAAGCTTAAAATAGTTTTTTTGCTCCCCCCCAAAAAATTTTTAATTAAAAAATAAATCACATTTAGAGAATAGGACACTTTGCTTCCTCTAGCTTGTAAAAGCAAAATCATGTGTGATAAAGAATAAAGCGCCAGCATGGCGCACACACACACACAAAAAAAGGAAAAAAGATGTTCATGTTGTGAAATGGGAGCTGGTGTGATGCTGATAAGTAGAAAAAAAACGACGGCACCCATTTTAGCTTGGCAGTACATATACATTACAGTCTAAACCACTCTACTCYGACTTGGCTTGAGACTAGTGTTTCCACTAGTGTCATTAAATGATGAGTACCTGTGGTACTTATGAGGTCTTGATTTTTTACACATCACTTCTGAAGTGGTAAGGTTGTGTGATACTGGCAAAAAAAATTATTCACGATTAATTGTGGCATTTAGCTGATGATAAATTTGACGTTTACTAGATGTCAATTAAAAATGTAGAGTTGTATGGATTTTCTGTAAATTACATAAAATTTCCCTCATTTTGCAGCTATATAGACGTACTGTATAGAGAAATCTCACAGATCTTTTCAAAAACTCAGGTTTAAATTTATTTTACTTTTCAGAGCTTGTAGGATGTTAAACAAAACAATAAAAAAGCCAGGTCATGATGAAACAGAAAAAGGTTAAAAACATAACAACTGAACTTTAATACTTAAGTTGAAGATGTTTTGCTTCCTCTCCAGGATGCTCACCCCCTCAGGAATGGAACCAAAACATCTCATGCATCAACTATACAGACAAAGAGCATAATGAGCTTACTTTGCAACAGGCAGGTAGTTCACACCTTCCTGCATGAACCAGGACATCKRTAGGAGTC